TCTGGAGATGGAAAAGTCTTATAGTAAAGTGGCCATAAGTCTGAAGACGAGTTTTATCAGACTTACGACTTGGGAAAGGTCACTGGGGGGAGTATACTTACTTATAGATTGTTATTGATGACTGTCTGCCTGTCTGTCCGTCTGCCTGTCTGTCTGTCTGTCTGTCTTTCTGTTTATCTAACTGTCTGTCTATCTGTCTGTCTATCTGTCTGTCTGTCTGTCTGTCTGTCTGTCTGTCTGTCTGTTTGTCTGTCTGTCTGTCTGTCTTTTTATCTTTTTCCCTCTTTGTTCTTACTTTTCTATTCCCCCGTCACTCTCTCTCTCTCTCTCTCTCTCTCTACACGCGCGTGCCAGAAGCATATGGTATCAGATGGTGTCAAGTAAAGGGGCTAAAGACATACTGTAGGAGCCAACAATGAGGCCCCAGTCTGTGTTACCTTATCTCTACCCTCTACCAAACCCCTAAGACCAGATTCCTCACCTACTGAACGACACAGAAACTCAGATCTTTCTCCACGAGTTTAAAAGGGTTAAAATCTTATCCTCCGTGAGTAAACAGTACCCAAAAAAAGAGTAAAAGGACCTCTAACACCCGACTCCATATGGGTCAAATTTCAGATCTAGTGTAGTGTGTTATTGTCAATGTCAACCAGGAAGGCGGGAGAAGGGTGAGGGTTTTTGTGAGAAGGGGAGGGTAAGAGGTGTCGGGTGTAATTACAGGGTTAACAAGGGCAGATGGTGATTCAGCTGGCAGTTTAGGTCATTGAGAAAACGTACTGCGTGTGGGGGTTAATTTCATTAATGTTCCACTGAGAGACGCCCGCCACCTCCCCGCCCTCCCTCCCTATACCCTAGCTCGATGGGATCCAAGATGTTTGTTTACGTTCCCGTTTTTTGTTGGCGTCTTAAGGGTAAACGACGGTATTTATTATATACACGTTGAGTTAATGCCTTGTTAATAGTTTATCTCTCCTCGAAGAACCAAAAAAGATACAGTTTGTTACTAAGTGAATATTTATGCGTTGTTAGAGGTTAATTAATGTTTTTCATATAAGCACAAAGACTAATATTGCTGTATATTTAGTTTGCGCGTGTACATGAATTAGTTACCATCTGACTAACTTAACCTAATCTAACTTAACCTAACTTAACCTAATCTAATCTAATCTAACCTAACCTAACCTAACCTAAGTGATGTTTCTCTATTGGTTTTTATTTAGAAGGTAAGAGGAGGGGGGGAGGAGGGTGTAGTGACAAGAAGGTTCAAGGAGTCTTAAATAAGACGACTCTTATCACCCCCCCCCCTCTCTCTCTCTTCCATCTCTCCTTATCATCCCCTCTCTCTCTTCCCTCCTTCCTTATTACCTCTCTCCCTCTCTCTACTCTTCCCTCCCCCCTCGTGTTATCTGAGCATTCTCCTCGACCCTACCTGACCCCTCACTCTCCCCTCGCTACCTTATCTCCCTTACTTCCCTCCCTCCCCCTCCTCCACACACACACACACACACACACACACACACACACACACACACACACACACACACATTATTCTATAGATCAACACCAAACCACAACCTTACCTCCGCACGTGCGCCCTCTGTCAGCACGTGGTGACTGTAATAACACGTGTTCAGGGCGCACGTGTATTGCGGTGGACCACAGGGTTAGTTTGTAGCCTCGAACAGTGAAAACCTCGACCATATGGCCACACTTCATCTCCAGGTTGGCCACAGTGGTAGTCTCTGATGGTGCCTGTGGTGGTGGTGTGGTGGAGGAGGTGGTGTGGTGTGGTGTGGAGATGATAGTAGTGGTAATGATGTAGTTGTGTTTGTTATGTTTAGGTTAGATTAGGTTAGGTTTGGTTAGGTTAGGTTAGCACCGAGCTTGCAGTCATACCCGGATGTCGACCATAAATTCAGTGAGAGCTGGCTCCGGTTCGGCAGCCACAACCAATTAGGAATTAATAACACACTAACTCCATCAATCAAGTTGTTTATTTGTCATTGTAACAAAACAATTACAGTGATTTTCCTCTTAACCACAAAAACTGGAAATTTCATGCTTCCGGCTTGCACATCACTCACGGGAACTGAGGTACACTGGTTCGATGTTTTGCTTGAATGTAAACAATGGCTTCAAGCGGATTTGTTCACGTGAGAATCGGATTTGTTTGGATTCATGATAAAGTGTTAGGGGCGGTTTGGATATAGCACACTGTATACAATTAGGCAGCATGGTGGGATGGAGAGGGGTTGGGAGAGGTGGGGGAGGGGCAGATGAAGGTGAGGAGGGGGAGATGAAGAGGGAGTTAAGGGAGGGGGTCTACAGGGGGTTAACGTTGGCTCGGTGCTGTTTATAGTGTGTGTACACCACCACCACCACACCACCACCTATCACCACCACCACCACCACCACCACCACCATCATCACCACCACCACCACCTATCACCACCCTGACCCCCAGTAATGTCACCATCTGGTCTCTGTGTTGGTCACTGGTTCAGACCTTACGACCACTGGACCACTATAGCCTGTGGTCGGCCCAGGACCATTAAAGGTGGTCTCTGTGGCCATCTAGTTTTCCGTTCTCTCTTCGCTTGTGGTCCCTGGGAGGCGAATGGTCTCTTATGGTCCTGGGAGGCATATGGTCCCATGTGGTCTTCTGTCTCAAGGGGATTTTGTGGTCTGAAAAGGAGACTTTTGCAATGGCACGATTTGGTGGCTGAGTGACTACTGTAACTAACCTAACCTAACCTAAATTAACTCCAATATTATCAACTACGACGCCCCACAAAATATACCTATCCTGAATGATTATTTATCTCATATCTCACACTGATAAAAAAAAAATCCCATTAACATTTTCAAAAAGAGAAGAAAAAAATCAAAAAGAAAAATATTTTAAAAGTCAATTCAATACAAGATCTGTCTAAACTTCAGATCACGGAGTAGGTACCGAGAAAGCTTTGGAACCTACGTACATAAATTTTCCCAAAACTCTCTGGGAAAAAAAAAGAGCAGCTCACGTAAAAGGGTTTCAAGTTTGTGAAAAGATATTTGTAAGGCAGGCGGAGTGGTAGAGGCGGTAGCTAAAGGGAGCAGGAATTGGGCACATAATGGTCTACTCTGCTTAGTGACTTGTATAGGAAAAGGCGCTGGCTACTCTAACACGTATTCAAAGTTTTCTAAAAGGATGTCAACATAAAGGGTTTTTCTTGTGGCTGTATTATTATTATTATTATTAGTATTATTATTATTATTATTATTATTATTATTATTATTATTATTATTATTATTATTATTATTATTATTATTTGCCCAGTGCCGTAAGTTATTTCAGAAAATAAACTTTCTAATAGGTAATAAAATTATCCGCCAAATTCCCTTTTCAAAATCCATTACCTGAATAATGAAGGAAAATACGTCTAACCAAACCTAACCATTACCTAACTTAACCTAACCTTGTCACCTACAGAGCATGGTATAATTAGTCCCCCTTATTATCTTACACCCAGAGTACATTAAACACTAAATTAATAATCCCCTAAAAGCTACAGTAGTCGACCTCCTTTGGCCTCGTGTTTACGACCTGCCTAACTGTGGGTCATAAATTCCTCTGGTATCTTGCGGCCATCAAGAGTGGACGGTCGTGGTGGTGTGGGAGGGAGGTGACAGCTGCCTTGGCGTCTTGCTTTGTGTCTCCCATCGCTCAAAGAGGTGGCGGAGGAAGACGCGTCGTCTCAGGAATGCATGCTTCCCCTCCGTACGTCCGTCTGTCAGGGTTGTCCGCGTGATAACTTGGACTCTAAGCGATGGATTTTGATCATACTTGGTGTGTAGGCAGAACATAACAGGAGTAAAGGCTAGTTCGGTAATTAGTGTTTTGTGTTGATATTAAACAGAGTTATGTTGTGTTTGTTGTGGTGTGGCTGAGTGGAGAGGTGAGGGGTGAAATTGACTACTTTTGAGAGGAAAGAGAGATTGAGAGGGAAACAGAAGGAAATTAAAACAAGGAATAGGAAATGCTAAAGTGGGAGGGAAAGACAGAGGAGAGGGTGAAATAAAGACAGAAAATGGATAGGAACAGAGAAGGTGAGAGAATTAGAGATGAAGAGAGAATTGTGATAGAAAGGGAAAAGAGAGATAGGGAGAAGGGAAGAGAAAGATATAGAGGCATAGAGAGATAGAATGATAAAGGGAGAAAATGATACACTGAAACAGAGGTACACACACACACACACACACACACACACACACACACACACACACACACACACAGAGGATATTCACATCACCTTCTCCTGAGATAATTCATCATCCAGAAGGTAGTTAAAACCCCCAGACCACCGCGGGTCAATTAGCCTTCCCTCCCCTACCATTATGGCTCATTTTAAGAGAGTCCCCCCTACACCACCCCCCCCCCCAGAGGCGATACTAATAGAAAACGGAGACGAACCGCATTCCTAAACAATTTTATTATTTTTCTTTTAATTGAAGATATTTTAAGGGATGATTATGTTTATTCTGGAACTAAGGCGTCAGGGTCTAGTGTTCAGGTCCTTATTCTGCTGTGTGGCCCTGATAGATAGGGTAAAGGGAGGTATCTATGGACACTAGCTCAGTGTTTCTGTTACTTGATCGAACTCTCGGCATCTTGATCAGCCCAGTGCTTGTCGAGCGGTCTTTGGAAGATTAGAAACAAGGGGTTGGTATTCTCTCATTTTCTCTCCCTCTCCTTCCTTCTCCTTCTCCCTCCTCTTCCCTCTCTTTTTCCCTCCATCCCAGCCTCTGTACCTCCCTCTCTCCCTCCCCCACCCCCCCTCCTTCCCTCTCCCTGCACCTGTACCTCTCTCACAGCATTAACTAGGTGGTCACCCTTACATAGCACCACCATTCTGTCCTCCTCCACCAGGGATCGTGGGAACCTGGCAGGCTGAGGGGGCTGAGAAAGATCATTCCTCACGTCTTGGGGAAACAGAAGACCCATGTCGCATCTCCCTTTATGGAATGACCCTGTTTGTGGGAGGACGCCGTGAGGACTGTGGGATGACCCTGTTTGTGGGGAGGGATGTCGTGAGGGACTGTGGGATGAGCCTGTTTGGGGGAGGATGCCGTGAGGACACTGGGATGACCCTGTTTGTGGGAGGATGCCGTGAGGACTGTGGGATGACCCTGTTTTGTGGGGAGGGATGTCGTGAGGACTGTGGGATGGAGCCTGTTTGTGGGGAGGGATGCCGTGGGGACTGTGGGATGACTCTGTTTGTGGGAAGGACGCCGTGAGGGACTGTGGGATGACCCTGTTTGTGGGAGGGATGTCGTGAGGGACTGTGGGATGACCCTCTTTGTGGGGAGGATGTCGTGAGGGACTGTGGGATGAGACTCTGTTTGTGGGAAGGACGCCGTGAGGACTGTGGGATGACTCTGTTTGTGGGGAGGATGTCGTGGGGACTGTGGGATGAGCCTGTTTGTGGGGAGGATGCCGTGAGGACTGTGGGATGAGCCTGTTTGTGGGAAGGACGCCGTGAGGGACTGTGGGATGACCCTGTTTGTGGGGGAGGGATGCCGTGAGGACTGTGGAATGACCCTGTTTGTGGGGAGGACGCCGTGAAGACTGTGGGATGACCCTGTTTGTGGGGAGGATGCCGTGAGGACTGTGGGATGACTCTGTTTGTGGGAAGGACGCCGTGAGGACTGTGGGATGACCCTGTTTGTGGGAAGGACGCCGTGAGGACTGTGGGATGACCCTGTTTGTGGGGAGGATGCCGTGAGGACTGTGGGATGAGCCTGTTTGTGGGGAGGATGCCGTGAGCACTGTAGGTAACCCTGTTTTATCATTTCCGCGTCCCAAGAAATATTTCATACCACTGAAAATATTGAAAGTGACAAACGATATGTTTATGTCCTTCCTTTCTTCATTCCTTCCTTCCTTCCTACGTGCCTGCTTCCATCTCTCCCTCTTTCCCTCCCTCCCTCTCTCCTCCCCCCCCCCGCCCTGTAACACATGTGTGAGAATCTTCACACCTGCACCTTCATCCTCCCCTCCCTCTCTTCTTGTTCCTTGTGCTCTCTCTCCTCCCTTCCATTTATTCTCTTCCTTCCCGTCTCTCTCCTTCCCTTTATCCAAAACACGAATGACAATCTATTCTTGTCGTTGTACTTTCCTCCTCTTCTTCTCTTCCTTCTTACCCTTCCATCTTCCCTCCTCTCCCCTTCCATCTTCCCTCCTCTCCCTCTTACTCTTCCATCTTCCCTCCTCTCCCCTTCCATCTCCCCTACGAAAAATATCCTTTAGAAATCAATCTTTAACTTCCGTCTAATTCAACTTCCACCACTACGATAAGGAGTCTACTTCACCCTCTGTTATTGGCTATTGTTTTGATGTTACGTCCCATTTACTCGGTGTTTTATGCCATTTATTCCTTAAACTCTCTCATTCCCATTGGGTGAGGGTGTAGGGGTAGGTGTAGGGGTGGATGAGGGTGTAAGGTTGGGTGTAGGTGTGTGGGTGTAGGTGTGTGTGTGTGTGTGTGTGTGTGTGTGTGTGTGTGTGTGTGTGTGTGTGTGTGTGTGTGTGTGCAAAAGCAATTACCGAGATTATACATTACCCAGAGTCATTCATCATACTTATTCACTACTACGACCGTCAACCCAGATTATAAAAACACAAACCTCATTTTCTTTAATTAAAAAATCAAAACAAACGAACTCAACCTTTTTCAACCTATAAAAACAAACTAATTATTACACGAACAGTCATTAAAATTTCAATTAGCATTCCTGTGTAGATGAGATATGATAGTAAGTGTAGTGTCATATGCCACCGCAGTTCACCACTAACATAATTGACACTCATGACACTCATGAGTTACAGTCGTTTTGTGTCATGCCACGCAGCCGTTCCCTGTATACCGCATGGCAGATGATTACCGCATGATAGATGACTACCGCATGATAGATGATTACCGCATGACAGATTATTACCACATGACAGATGATTACCGCATGACAGATGATTACCGCATGACAGATTATTACCACATGACAGATGATTACCGCATGACAGATTCTTACTGCATGACAGATGATTACCGCATGACAGATGATTACCACATGACAGATGATTACCGCATGACAGATGATTACCACATGATAGTTGAGTACCGCATGACAGATGATTACCGCATGACAGATGATTACCGCATGACATGATTACCGCATGACACTCGTGGAATAACTTGTACAGCTGCAGGGTGGAAGGAAGCTACAAGGTGTCTCAGAAAAATGTATACACGTTACCCTCCACCTTTAACCCTCCACCTTTAACCCTCCACCATTACCCCTCCACCATTAACCCTCCGCCATTAACCCTCCACCATTAACCCTCCGCCATTAACCCTCCACCTTTAACCCTCCGCCATTAACCCTCCATCTTTAACCCTCCGCCATTAACCCTTCACTTACCTCAGCAAAAAAGTCCCTCATACACACACTTCCGCCGCCATTAAGTGTCTCACCTACACACTCACCTCAGGTAAAAACTCACTTTACAAGTCAAAGGTAAAAACGTCTTTCTCTTGTCGTCTCTCTTATCGTCTCTCTCTTATCGTCTCTCTCTTGTCGTCTCTCTTATCGTCCCTCTCTTATCGTCTCTCTCTTACCGTCTCTCTCTTGTCGTCTCTCTTATCGTCTCTCTCTTATCGTCTCTACTACTACTACCACTGCCACAACAACAACCACCACAACAACAAGAGATATACTTTGGACTATACCATATCCCCTCCCCCCCTCCTCCCTCCTCCTCCCTCCCTCCTCCCTCCCCCTCCAGCGCGTCAAAAAAACACACCGGGCGGAGATATGAGGAAATATACCAGGTGAGGGAAATAAAGATGATGTGAGGTATTCAGGTAGAACTCTTGGCACCTGTATGGGTTAATTATACCTTGTCTCTCCCCCTCCCTCCCCACTCCTCTCCCTCCCATCTCCCCCCTCCCTTGATGTAGGTAAGTGAGAGAGAGAGAGAGAGAGAGAGAGAGAGAGAGAGGGGCCTAACAACAGCTTCTCTTTAATTTAACATAATTTTTTTTAAAGATATTTTGGGTCAATCTCTCTCTCTCTCTCTCTCTCTCTCTCTCTCTCTCTCTCTCTCTCTCTCTCTCTCTCTAAGTGCCACCACCATACAGTGCCAACTACCGGGCATCATAATTAGCTTGGCACTCGTGACTCTTAAATTATGTTGCTTCAAAAAATACATATAAAAACAGGTGACGTGTAGTGAACTTCCTGAGAGGGTCTCATTTAGGGGCCTGGTTAATGGGGGGTTAATGGGTAATGGGGGAGAATGGGGGAATGGGTAATGGGGGTTATGGGTGATGGGGGGTTAATGGGTAATGGGGTTGATGGATAATGGGAAGTTGATGGATAATGGGGAGTTAATGGGTAATGGGGGTTTGATGTCTAATGGGGGTTAATTGGTTATGGGGTTGAGGGATAATGGTAGTTATTGGGAACTGGAATTAATGGTTGAAATCGTATTGGAAGTTAATGGTTATCATGGATTAATTAGTAATGGGTTAATGGTTAATGTGGTTTAATAGGTAATGGAAGTCAATGGGTAATAGGAATTAATGGGTAAGAGTTTAATAAATAATGGTAGTTTATGGGTATGTGTCACTGTCATAGAATCACAATTACACTGCATATGACATGGTTTGATTGTCATATATACAATGTCACTGCCATAAACACATTTCCACTGTCGTATCTCAAATCTGTCACTGTTTATTGCATGACAGTGACTCATATCCACATTACACTGTCATATCCTAAATATATCACTGTTTATGACACGGAGAGGCAGCGTTCTCGTGACGGGCAGGAAGCGTTACTCAGCGCTTCTCACAGCTGGGTGGGTGACGGAGCGTGTGACGGAGGTGTGACACGGGTGTTTGTGACGATGGTGTGACGGTGTGGGGCGAGTGGTGTGTGTGTGACGGAGACAGAAGGAGGGGAGGAAAGGTGATAGAGTAGAGGGAAGGGAGATAAGGAGAGAGGGGGAAGAGAGAGGAGGAAAGTCCCCAATTCTCTTAGACCCCAAGCGAAATGATGAGGCTAGGACGGGATTTATTAACACAGGGGCCTATTTGACCTGCAACTGTGTACAAACGGACCCCGGAGTGTCCTTGGTGATCTGACTGATAATGTCTTAACGTGAGTGTGTGAGGGATATTTTCTCGGTCTCTTGTTTATCTCTGTGTTTTCTATTGTTTTCTCTTCATTAATTGTGTTTATTCCTATCACTCTTCGTGGTCTTTTGATCTTTGAGATTTTTTTGAAGTGGCGAATAATTGTTTGTTATTCCACTCATAATCTGACTTATAGACGTTGTTAATAATAATAATAATAATAATAATAATAATAATAATAATAATAATAATAATATACCAATTTATATATAAACTAAATACCATAAACCATCAATCAGACAGCTCTTTGAAAACCCATTTCCCTTTTTTCAATATTTCTCTCCCACTCGAACGCTGTTTATGACTCCTGTCCACCATTTACGCTTCACTTGGAGACTATCTCTTGGCTCGAAAGCTGTGTCATTAGTGCCTTTGTTAATGACGTTTACCAGGTGCTGGCGGAGGCCTTCCTATCTGGTCACATCTCCCGTAAACAACGCAGTCTGTCTCTTTGTCTCTCAGTGGCAGGATATGTTCAAACCTTGGACCTAAGTGCTGACCAAAGCCGCTTGTATTTACGTATTCTGAATCGATTTTCTTCTTTCTGATGATAAACTATGATTCTGGGATTATTTTATGATAGTAAGATTATTTTATTGTCTTTTTTAAAATACTTTGGTAATATCCGAGAAATAGAAGTCTCAGTAATGACAAGAAAACATAAATGGGTAGAAATATCGTCTCTAACTTACGTCTCAGAGACTAGTGTATTTCTTGAGAGGGGAACTTAACTATTTCTTATCTTTGTAACTGAGTCAATCAAAGGCTTCAATCTTAAGAGTGGGCCAACCTAACCTAACCAACCAGAATTTCTATGTAAACATTATCTGTCACTGTGTGTTTATATTGGCTGGTGAAGTACCTCTCTCTCTCTCTCTCTCTCTCTCTCTCTCTCTCTCTCTCTCTCTCTCTCTCTTATCTTGGAGTAATTAAAGGTTGTATTAAAGTTAAGGAAATTCTTAACTTCCGTAAATGTTTCATCCATACAAACATCATAAAGAGAGAAGAGAGAAAATGAGAAAGGAAAAATAGGAAGAAAGGAATATAAGAGAGAAGAAAATAATATAAATAATAAGAGATTTAAAAAAAAGACAGAAAGACAAAGAAAAAACGGAGATATAGAGAAAGATATAGAGAGAGAGTAACATAGAAATGAAAAAGTTCTCTCATAAACAAACACCATTTGAAAACTCCCATCTGTGTGGCCCTCGAGGTGTTATCAGATCGACTCTCCTCCCCTTCGATCGCGGGCGTTTAATGTCTCCCCGGGGAGTGAGAGGAAGGGAGAGGTAATACTTGGTGTGATTAGGAGAAGAAGGAGAAGGAGGAGGAGGAAGATAGGATGAGAGGATTATGGTAAAGATGGAGGATTTGGTCTGTGTGGGGTAGGGTTAGGAAGGCTGTCTTGGAAGATCTAAAGATAGATAAAATTTGCTTGAATTAATAGAGATATAATTATTCGTTAAGCATTAATTAATGTCCTGTATTATACGCCTATACACACTAATAACTATTTACTTACATAGATAGAAAAGCAGTCATAAACTCCTCACTCACACACACACACACTCTCAAATATTCACGCTGACACACATTACTACTTTGCTGCCACTCGGAGACGAATATGACGATTATCCAGCTGTGATACAATGATATGAGTTATTAAGTATGTCATCTTTGTTGGTGAGCTCTGAGGTGACTCGAGAGGCCGATGCGGGACCGGCAGTGTCCTCCACAGATGTTATACGTGTGGAGGGCTACATCTAGTGCAGGAGGGGCGGTGGCAGCGTCTTTCCGGTGTTGGCGCTTGTTTCCGTCGGTATGCAGTCGGGCTAACTCGAAAGTATTGACACCTTTTTGTGTGGTGCTCCTCCAAGCGTTACGGTGTGGAGTAATTGTCTCCCAGGTGAGGGGGTCGATTTGGCACTTTTTCAGGTTTGTCTTAAGACTATCCTTGTACCGTTTCAGTTGCCCGCCAGCGTTACGTTTACTATTCGTTAGGTGACTGGAAAGTAGCTGCTTTGGCAGTCTACTGTTGTCCATGCGGGTAACATGGCCAGTCCAACGCAGTTGTTCATGGATAATGGTAGCCTCGATGCTCCTACAGTTGGTGTCAGCGAGAATACTGGCATTTGTTCTCTTGTCTTCCCAGTGAACTCGGAGGAGGGAATGTAGACCACGTTGGTGAAAGTTTTCAAGTGCCTTGAGGTGCCTCCTGTGTGTGACCCATGTGTCGCTGCCATACAACAGGGTGGAGACCACACACACACACACACGCGCACACAAACACACACACACACACACACACACACGCACACACACACACGCACACACACACACGCACACACACACACACACACACACACACACACACACACACACACACACACACACACACACACACACACACACACACACACACACATGTATATGATGCCTTAAGCGGCTTATACGTGGTGATATTATTAGGCCGTAAACCTTTTATTGTGTTTCATCTTCCAATAGTATTACTGCCCTGACCAAACACTGTGTGTGTGTGTGAGAGAGAGAGAGAGAGAGAGAGAGAGAGATGGATCACCAATGGAGGGAATAAATAATACAACAGTATCATAACTGCCTCCGACACTGACACCTCCCTCTCTCCTCCCTCCCTCCTTTCTGTTCTTCCCCCCACTCTCCCCCTCCTCTCAATATAACCGCCCCTCTTTTCCCACCCTACCTCCCTTTCACCCTCCCTCCTCTCCATCCCTTCTCTCCTCCCTCCTCTCGTTATAACCTCCCTCCTCCCTCCCTCCCCTCCCTCCTCTCTCTCCCTCCCCCCTCTCGTTATAACCTCCCTCCTCCTCTCCTCCCTCCTCTCCCTCCTTTCTCCCACTTTCTCTCCACCCCTCTTACACAATCAAATCACCCTTCATATTTATAAATATATTGGTACTTGAAATCCGAGCGATGAGTTTTATTTGTATTGCTTGACTCGGATAATTTCCGATGTATTAATACAACGTTCACTCATCACTCACTCACTCCTCACTCACTCACACACTCACCATTCTCTCACTGTCACTCACTCACCCACTCATTCACAAACTTATTCGGAGTGAGAGTTGTGAACTCTTGGAACAACCTACCAGTAAGTGTTATGATGGCACCGAGTGTGAGCTGTTTCAAGGCCAGACTTGACCAACACTGGAACGGGTTCGGGTACATTCAGGAACCGGTGCATGCCCAGTACTCGCCAACAGTGCGGCCGCCCGGTGTAAGAGACGTGACGAAAGAGGATAGGGGTTAGTGGTGGTGGTGTCACGTGTGTGTCTCGCTACTATGTCATGAGAGAACTGCTCAGCCCAGTTACACATGAGAATTGTGTGTCCCTCGCTACCAAACATCACAGGTTTCCTCCAGGTAATATAGTTCCCTCCTGTATTAACAGTGGACAATAACAAACTAACTAAGAACAGAAATAATTAGATCAATATCGATGGTAGTCACGTTGCGTATAAAATCAGCAGGAACTATTAGAGTTACCGTTAAGGAGAAGAAAACGATTCTCGAGCCCTCCAATATCCATTTTCTATTGTTTCTGGCTGGTCTATTAGATGGCGCTAGTGTCAGCAGCTGAAGGAAATATTCCTTAAACGAGGGTGAAGTTAGTGAACTTACTTGTCTGAGATTGCTAAATGTGTGGATCATCATAGCAGGTTGCTTCTTCTGCTAACCGTAAGTACATAATTCGTGGCTTTTAATAGATTCCTGCATCGCAGAAACTATTTAATATTCAACATAAAGATTCCTGGTACATTAGAACCACAAGACAACGTTATTTAATGTTACTGAGTCAAAATTTAGGGGTTTTAAATCACTCGCCGCAGGTGATACACCAGCTGACTTTGTTATGGAGTTGATTTTTCAGTCTTCAATGCGATATAATACGGAAATTTAGTCTTTTATAACCTATATGGTATTTTAGGTTACCGTAGTTGCATTTCAAGTGTTTGTGTATCAAGAAGAACTTCATATTTCAGTGGAATGAGTCGTGGATACTGACATTGGCTTATTACTGTGGCATTTAAAGTGATCAGTTGAAGTTTTTTTTATTTCACTGTGCCATGTATTAGTTTAGTTAATATTTGTCCTCTGTTTTATTTGGCATTATTTAACTAGTTTATACCCTAACATCTCACCATGTTAACGTTCACATTCACATTTTATTAATTACCTTTTAACTGGAAGAAATTGGGATTGAATTAAAATGTTTCCACAGCGGACTTTAAATTCACTCATTAACTATATAAATGACTTATTTTGCCTTTTTATGTAAAGAAACTCTTTATAAACCAATTATACAGTTAAAATTCACATTATATTCATTTAGGAACAATGTCTTATGACTAAATTATTTCAATATTTTACTACAAGGGAGAAATAAATTTATGAATGGGTTTAAAGGGAAGCATTTTTACTCGACAGTGTAAATGGCGATGAATGGGCACTTTAATTAAATGGTATTGGTTAGTTTGAATGAGAACTTTAATATCAGACTTTCCTTATAATGTCCCGTGTTTATTTTTAAAAATTTTAGAGGAAAACTAATTGATCTTACAAAATTTTGGTTAAGGAATTAATATGAGTTTCATTAGTGGTTATAAATGAGTAATGTAAATAAGGTATTAAAATGACCAAAACAGAGAAACTGATTTCCCTCTCAAATTTAAAGATTTATACAGTATTTAATGAAAGAATTGTAAATAAGTGAGTTGTAAAGAGGATAAGGGTGAACTACAGTATAGAGTGATATTTATTCTGTGGAATTATTGAAATCTTATAAAAGTTAATATTCATGTACACACTACTTAGATATGGCAGGTGTGTAGTGACAGTAATAGTATACTGTTCTTATACTTGTTTTTAATAAGGTAACAATTTTAATTCCATTTCATAAGTGTCAAATACAATATATAGTCCATAATTAGGGTGCAAAGAAAATACAGTATTCTCCAGTAATCAAAGATAACACAAGACATTAAAAGCGTACCGGTATATAGTAATATTTAAGGACAGTGGTCTTACGTAACCAGCTACCTAATTAAAAATATTTATAGAAGTAAATTTACTGCCCACCTAAAGAATAAAGCAAATTAGGTGGAGGAATAGAACTTTCTCGGCTATCATCCGAATTTTATTAACTAATGAGTGTCGTACTTTATCCCCCAAAAAATATTAGAGGGTGATAAATTATTTTTGTTAGTTGAAAAAAAAAAAATATTACCAAAAAGGACAATTACAGTAATAATAAAAGTATGAGTTGCATTTTTTTTAATATTAGTTTGATGATGGACACAAACTAATGAAACCTAACCTAACCATTAGGGTGGAAGTTTTTTATTTAAAGTTAGTTTCGTGTGTACAGATGGTAGATGGCATGTAAAGTTTGTGTTAGATTAGTGAGCATTGTTTGTTCCTCATGGTGGCTCTACTCATGAAGCAGGGGCAGCAGTCGTGTCTTTATTTACGGGAAACTTATAACAAAAACATGAATAATCTAAAAGTGCTGTTCCTCCACCCAATTTAATTTAGTTTTGAGTTAAGAAATACATTATCCTCTATAGAAGTTTAACATTAAGTGGCTGGATAAATCAGACCATTGTCCTCAAATATTACCACATAATTTCACTGGAGTTCTGAATAAAGTGAATTATCTAAGGTGGTATGGATCACCTAAGGAATAATCAAGTTTATTTCACCTAATGATTAGTGTTACTACCTGGGGGGTAAGGTAATCTTTTTCTCATTTGTGGTACAGTAATAATTAAACTCAAACATAATTTTTTTTTAATCTGTATACCACACCAAGCATTACCCAAAAAACTAAGTAAAGAATCTCAATAGTATGTGAGTGTTGATGGTGTATGTATATTATGTATGCTGTATGTATATTATGTATGTGCTCCATTTATATACACTATTTATTCAGCCTAGCTAGCAGCGTGTGGCAATGTATTTACCATGTCCCACATGCTTAATTAATGTGCCTGGCGACATATGGAAGCTGCTACTGTATCACTTACCACATGTCGCCGGAGAGGCTAGTTGACCCCCGTACAGAGTAAGGAGCGCCACCTCCCTTGTGTACATATCTGTTTATCCAGTAAATAGAACCTACGAAACTCTACAGGTGCTTGTGTTCGCTCCTGTAGATAGAACTTGATACCTAGAACACATGCAGATGGTAGGTGACAGTATGAACGAGACTTGAATCATAATTATCATTGTCGTACGTGTGAAATTAATATATGTACAGTTGGGAGTCAAAAGTCTTGAACACTCCGCAATATCTGGCATCTACTTCTGAGTTACATATATATGATTGGGATATACTAATAACACTACTTGTCATCATATATTATGCCTGAACCACAAAATGGGATAAAAACTCTCCTTAATACCTAAGATCTTTGGGTACTTACAACCCAAATACTGTCAAGTGTTCGAGACTTTTGACCCCGACTGTACTTGTGTGTTCCAGCTCCCAGGTGGCTGATGGCATGGTGTAGTGTCCAGTTAAATGTCCTTCACCTCCAGCCCCCCCTCTTTTTTTTCTCATCCACTCAATTAACTCTGACTGAAATAATTCATAACCTGATCTGGTTATGTGTGGTTGTGGAGTTTGTGTGGTTGTAGAGAGTTTGTATGTGTGTGTGTGTGTGGCTGTCAAGTGTGTATAACATTTATATAAATGCCCTGAAGTGTGTATTGTATGTGGTGTTGGATATCCTTATTCCCTGCAAGTGGTCGATCATTAAGTTTTGCATAACTGTTGTGGAGTCATTTAGATGTACAAATATATGATGGCATATAGCGTTTTACTTATGTGATTTTGCCAATAGTATTTCATGATATATCTTTTATTTAAGTTGTTAAAAATACAAATATTTATAAAGGTTTTTCTTTTTTATAGGGGGAAGACGACCTTGAGGATAAGGCTCCACCTGAAGCTGGTGCTCTGTGAAGATGCTGGAGGCACTCAACGGGCACCCAGACTAAACCCCACAAGGTACCTCACAAAGTCCACAGGCACATTGCTGAAGAACCTGTGGTGAAGAGCCCTCGGAGGACGACATAGAGTAACCGCACGACACAGAACGTAGGTACCAGGTAACTTTGTCTCGTATGGGGTCCGAATTTGTGTACTTAATGAGTTTGGTCACATCTCTGTTAGGTCATATCTTTATTAGGTCACGTCTCTGTTAGGTCACGTCTCTGTTAGGTCACGTCTCTGTTAGGTCACGTTTCTGTTAGGTCACGCTTCTGTTAGGTCACGTCTCTGTGAGGTCACCTCTCTGTTAGGTCACCTCTCTGTTAGGTCACGTCTCTGTTTGGTAAACTCTCTGTTAGGTCACGTTTCTGTTTAGTAAACTCTCTGTTAGGTCACGTCTCTGTTTGGTCACGTCTCTGTTTGGTAAACTCTCTGTTAGGTCACGTCTCTGTTAGGTCACATCTCTGTTTGGTCAACTCTCTGTTAGGTCACGTCTCTGTTAGGTCATGACCAGGGAGCTGATCATACTAACTAAACTCACGAGGGCCATACGAAGTCAATCAAAACAGACAAGTACCTTCGTCTACTTTTTATCCTATTGATAAACAGTTGTCGAGGCTAGAGAACCCCCCTTGTTATGACACAGGCGCCCACTTATCTTTATTACTTTATTCTTATAAGACCTAACAATTTAGTTTCTTGTTTCACCTTCTCACAATAGCCCGAGAACGTCAGTTCATTGTCAACATACACACCCAGGCTCTTTTTCGCATTGTCTCAATTAATTCAATTTCTTCGTCCCGTTGGGATATGTGATACGCCTCCTCACCGTTGGTACGTCCCAGTTGCAGCCTCTTACACTTCGTGACATTGAATCTTAACAGCCATTTCTTCGACCATTCTTGAAGCTCACGGAGATCTTTCTGCAGCTCTTCACAGTCTGCTTGGCTCTTAATTTCCCCAAAATAGCTTGGCATCGTCCGCAAACATTTGTATGGAGGAGTATATAGCTTCTGGCATGTCATTTATGAAGCAAACAAACAACAATGGGCTTAATACACTGCCCTTTAGTACCCCGCTTGTCACGGGTACACATGGAGATTTCGTACCATAAATCACCTCACGCTGCTTGCGATCATAGAGAAAGTCCCGATCTACACTAGGACACTTCCCCGATTCCAGCACCTTCCCAGTTTAATTTCCAGCCTCAGCCTTTCATGGGGTACATTGTCGAAAGTCTTGGCAAAATCTAGGTATATATTGTCGATATTACCACCCTGTTCCAGAATTTGAGTGCAAACATCCACTACCTTGAATAATTGTGTTAAGCAGGAGCTTCACGGCATAAAGTCGTGTTGGCAATCCTTTGTAAGGTTGTTTCGTAATAGGTGTTCCATCATGACATCTCTTATTGTAATGACCACGGTCGTACACGTCAGTTAACGTAAAATCAGACGATTCATATTATGCTCAATAGTCCACAAAACATGTAGCTATGCTTTCTTTATTTGAGTCCCCCGTCTGAGAAGTCCGTTTTCTCATCACTTCAGGACGCCTGAGTCCTTCGTTTTTTCTCAATCCTAGAGTGCACCCGAGACTTCATTGTTCCCTAGTAATGACACAGAATTTGAAAGTGCAACTGTGGTTGCATATGTTGAGGCAACTTAGATATGACTGATTACAGTTGGAACATTCAATATCCATTGTGAGTGATGTTGAAAGCTTCAATGTCCTTATTGTTGGTAAAACTTGTCAAGTAAGGGAGTGTCGAGTTTGTCAGTATGAGTGGCATATCCTTATATCGTCCTTGGGGATAGCCATGAGTTCCAAGTGCGACTGAAGTTAGATCATTTTGATGCCCAAACATCAGAAAATCGGATGTTTGTAGTTTAGTTAGTGTCAGTTGTCTATTTTAAAAAGTCATCAATCTACTGAATAAATTCTGTCAAACTCAAAATCTCCAAAACCTAACGGCTCTTCTCAGGAAGAATTCCTTGGCTGTGGTTTGTGGTTTCCGGTAAGTAGAGTTGTTTAGTGCGTGTTTAACGTCCATTTCACTTTTTCCTGACAAACTCGATCTCTGATTAGATTATAAAAATAGACATAAAAATTAGCCTGACCCATGACACTGATTTTCATAGTTGAATGTACAACAACTGAGTGGAATGTAATTTCTGTCATTGAGTGATTAGCATATCTGGCATGTGTTCCGCATAGGCCTGAGTTGCCAGTTAGCCGTATATAAGCTCGTGCGTGAGGAGAAAGTCACTTCTCTGACGCTTCTCCATCTTTATCTCAGGTATGTGTAAGATTCTCCGCCTGCCATATTAAGTCAGTTTAACTCAGTAAATTTTGTGAATATCAGTGTTCATGTTGTAACAGTGAAATTGTCATTTACCCAGTGAAAGAATTTATGTGACGTAAATGTTGTCTGTCGTTGCCAGACAAAAGATTGTTTGTGATTGAGTTATTATTCACTTCTCTGATGCTTCTCCATCATTATCTCAGGCCCAGTGTGTGTGTTAGCTGAATACCCAGCAGCTACCAGGGATCGGTAGCTGCATACCAGCTGGTTGTATTGGACGATGTCGTTAATTCGGCAGGATTAAACTGTGCGGGTCCGAGCCCTGGGAACTAGGCCCAAACTCCCTCGCCGTGTGTCGGACTACAACCGACCTTAACAGCTTTCTTCATTTGTTGTTACACCCTGGGGCACTCCTTACAGTTATATGGGCCAAAGTATTATTGTTGTATATGATTAGTGATAATTAGCAGACATATAGTTATCCCAGGTTGAGTATTGAACCCATGAATGTTGGTGTTACCGGTGGTACTGTTGTAAAAGGAGTTGAGTCCACCAACCAGGTGTACTACCACTGTACTCTAGCTAAAGTGCCATGTTGTTCATTCCGAACTAACAGGATGTGTTTGATAATATCTTAATTTTGGATCCTGTCGAGTGCGTTATGTAATCATCTGTATTGACAATGAAGTAATATCATGAGTGTACAATGTTGTAATCAAGAAATGGTCTATTTTGCTATTAATTTAAAGTAAGACCTAAGCGGTCCGGTCTGATCTGAGTGTAATTAATTAACATCTTATTTACTCCATATGTTAATAAATATTAAATTAGTAAACTATGAGTATCACCACACTATTCCTTCAACACATTGGTTCTCAGAAAGTAACTATTGTAACTCATGTGCCTGGAAGCTTGCTAGCAGGCTACCTAACAGTTCACTAAGATATGTTATATTCTAATAAAATTCTGAGTGGTGGCAGGCTACCGTTGTAAGTAATAAGTGTTATAATATAATGACATAGTTTCCCCAGACTAATCCATGGTTTAGAATATAGTTAAAACAGGGTATACTTCAGAAAGGTAAGGACATAGAAATTCAGAAAATACAATACTATATACGAAAAGAAATGAACTAAAGAATATTGACTTGGAAAATCTAAGCAGAGAAATATAAGATATATACTTAGACTGTAGAAATAAAGACAGCATATGAAATTATTAAATAGATACACCAGAAAAGATTAATATAAAAGATAGACATGAGCAAGAAAATAAGTAAATAAAAATTTAAGAAAGAATTTAACAGAAGAGAATAAAATGAGAAATATTTGAAATACGAATATAAGTATGTAAATATATTGAAGAATAAAAAGAATAAGTATGAAGTAAGGAAAATTTCCCGCCCTTACATTATAATGCTCTCAAGTATTTTACACACTATGCCATTTTCCAATCACTGGGAACATTACCTCTACACCACTAGGATACTAAAAGCAGTCCTAGACTCTGTTATATTTCACACAAAGCCTGTTCAACGAGCTTATGGCGCCGTGAACCTCCAATGGGGACTACCCGTGTCACTTAAGTGGTCAGAGTAACGTTTTACCAAATCCGGCTTCGAAACACGAGGATCCATATATATTTCACGGGTACTCCCCAATTGGAGGTTCACGGCGCCATAAGCTCGTTGAACAGGCTTTGTGTGAAATATAACAGAGTCTAGGACTGCTTTTAGTATCCTAGTGGTGTAGAGGTAATGTTCCCCGGTCACAATCATAAGATCGTGGGTCTGAATCTTAGCGGGGTGAGGTGTTGTGTGTGTGTGTGTGTGTATATATATATATATATATATATATATATATATATATATATATATATATATATATATATATATATATATATATATATATATATATATATATATATATATATATATAATTGCATGGTAATTGTGTAAGAGAAAAGATTTTGTCTTAATTTCTGAACTCATCTAATATCTTGAGGCAATGGAGTCAGTAAAACTTATACAGTAGTGTTTTCATTCTCTCTTTATATGTACAGTATACATGCATGTATACGTAAATGAAGATTGATATGTCTAAACAGTGCCTGATTTGGACCTGTGGAGGCCCATGGGCAACCTGTTTGTGGAGGCCCCCCTCATTATAACTACCCAGGAGGGTGGGGTGGCGAGTGAAGCGAGCCTAAACATCTGGGCGTTCCGAGGGGCGCTATAAGGCCCCCGGGAAAATTTAGAAATTTGAACACTTCTTTGGAGAATTTTGAAGCCCTTTGCAGTTATATTGAGGAAATTAGAACATTGAGAAATTTTTAATTAACTGTATATTTATTGATAGTGTACAAATTCACAACACACACACACAAAAGTGAGACATGACTGGAGTTATTCATGTGGTTTCAAGTCGACCAGCCCTGATATAGCTACTACCGCACATGTCAAAAATTTTCAAGAGACTTCACAGAAAAGAATATATTATTAGTTATTACAGAGAGATGATTCTTTGCATTATTAATCAGATAAACCTCTACTCAAATAATGAAAATAAAAATAATCCAAATGAACAAACAAATAAAATATTGTAATATGCGGAGGCCCCAGATTGTGGAGGCCCCGGGGCAGCTGCCCACTCCTGAATCTGGCCCTGTGTCTAAATTAATGGAAAACGTAAAATATATCACTCGAGACGTCACACCAATGTCTATGGCGTCAAGAATAGCTTCTGGACACAGCCAATAGATGGCGCTATTGTTGAAATATCTGGCAACTGTACCGTACACATATTTCATGTATTTTAGCTAGAGCTTTCCTATCTTGAGTAGAGCATCTTTGTACACAGAGTTTAGAATTAGTTAGCTAGTCTGTACTGCACTGGTGAGTGGTGCCTGGTCTGGTGTTTCATCTCGGCTTGGTAAAGCATTCTTCGTGTATTTGAAAACGAAGCCGCTGCTATTGGCATTTTGAGACTCATGGTATATTGCCAACCTCTGTGAAGTGCTATAGACGTTCAAAATATAGAGCGATTGTTGAAGAATATCAAGAGTTGGGTGTTTTGTGCCGGCAATAAGAAGGAACATTACCGACAATATTTTGCTCTGGATTCAACGATCACACGAACTATACTCCACCACTTCCTCCTACAAGTAGCATCATTTTATCCTCTAACATCTGTTAATAAAGGTAAGTTTTTTACACAACGGCCAGAGGGACTAGGAGGTTAAATCAGGTCTTTCTGGTTACGAGGTTTCGTTAGGTTTCGTTTCGTTATTTATTTATTTATTTATTTATTTATTTATTATTAATTTTTTTTTTTTTGGGGGGGGGGTGATTTTATCCCACAATTTCCCTTTACGTCAAAGCCCTGGCCACTTTGTGCAACCAATATTGCTGGTAAAAGACAGATGGGTGCCACATATCCATAGCGGCTTATTTGCGACGGAATTGGACAGTCAGGTTTGCTTGAAACACCTCAAGATAAACTAATAAACCTATTTTTGTCAGTACTGTAGTTTCTGTGGTCGACCTTTTTCTGAATCCCAACCGTTTCGTTTATATGTGAAATGAAAGTGAGTTTTGCGTACGTGAATTTTATTTACTTTTTCATTCACACAAATTGCCCAGTTCATGAACTAGTTAAGACTTCACAAACGTTGCTTAGTGAGATGAGGGAGCAGACTTTGTAGGTAAACCAACAAAGTCTAGTTTAACTAATGAAGTTCGTGTAGTGTCAGTAGCGTCCCCAGTTCTCGGTCCTGGGTTCAACTCTTGACTAGTGAGGTAGTGTTTGTATATTGAGGTCCGCGTGCATTTGGACTTATTAGATACTGCTTAATAATTTATCCCACATTGACCTAAAATAATCATTAACGGCTTATTGAATGAACATGGGAGCCAAAAGGCAAAAAATATTACGCTACATAGTTGAGGAATGGGTCACTTGATTTACAAATATAGACGAGTAACGTGAGTGGTACAAATATGAGTAAATTTGCATTTTCAATCAATATGGCTCTGTAGTTGAACAATGTGTTTTACCGATGGTTTAGACTATTTTAAGACACATTTCTCCTTCAACGTTCCCTCGCAAATGACCTAAAATTACCTAACCTAACCTTGTAACTGGGGGGCTCCGTCCCCCTGGATCCCCCAGTATATTCAAGTCATATGAGAGGGAAACGTCATAAGGGAAAAGTGTCTTAAAAGTGTCTAAACCACCGGTAAAACATATTGCTCAACTCGAGAGCCATAGTGGTTGAAAACGCAAATTTACCCAATTATGATATAAGCTATAATAACAAAGTGAGGTCATACTTCAGGATATTTCAATATATTATAGTGCAAAAGTAAGATTGGCGGGGACTCAACACACTGGCTAACTCCGAGTTATTTTTACTTTTATCCTCTTCACCACTGATCGGCTCGTTAGCAACTTGGGCGATCGGTCACGTCGCTGTTACGTACTGTTACTTTTATCCTCTTCACCACTCATCGGCTCGTTAGCCGCTTGGGCAATCGGTCACGTCTCTGTTACGCACTGTTGGCAAATACTGAGGATGCACCGGCTCCTGAATGTACAGTCACCCCAAAAAAGTCCTGTCGCGAGCCATGAACCCCGAGATTCAGACTCTTGAATCCGAAGCATTTATGGACAGAATAATGTATCAGTGTCTACTGCTTCGGGTTCACGAGTCTGAATCTCGGGGCTCGTGGTTCGCGACAGGACTTGTTTGGGTGACTGTACCTGAGCCCGCTCCAGTGTTGGTCAAGTCTTGTCTTGAAAGAGCTCACACTCGGTGCTGTCACAACACTTTCTGGTAGATTGTTCCAAGAGTTCACAACTCTCACTACGAAAAAGTTTGCCCTCACAGTTTTCTGGACTTACGGCTTCTTCAATCTTGAGCTGTGACCCCTTGTGGGGCGAGCGTCCGCCAGCTCTAAGTAAGGACACTCGACTAAGTAGTGTTCCTTGAGATGCTTATACGCCTCTATTAGGTCACCCCTTGCCCGTCTGTAGTATAAGCTAGGCAAGTTCAGGCGCTCAAATCTCTCAGGGTAGCTGAGGTGCAGAAGGGCAAGCACCAGTCTGGTGGCCTTCCTTTGAACATTTTCAACCAACTGACAGTCCCTAGCATATCTCGGGGACCAGACGGGGTGACAGTACTCCAGATGGGGAAGCACTTCACTTTTGAAGATCGTTACGAGGGACGGAACGTCTAGATATCTGAACGACCTTCTTATAAGACCCAATAATTTATTTTCCTGATTTACCTTCTTCTCGCAATGACCCGAGAACTTCAGCTCATTGTCAACATACACACCCAGGTCCTTCTCAATTTCAGTCTCAAATAGTGCAGTTTCTTCATCCCGTTGGGAAATATGATACGCCTCTTTACTGTTGGTACGCCCAAGGTGCATCCTTTTACACTTCGTGACATTGAATCTCAGCAGCCATTTCTTCCACCATTCTTGGAGCCCACAGAGGTCCTTCTGCAGCTCTTCACAGTCCGCTTGGTTCTTGATTTCCCGAAATAACTTGGCGTCATCGGCAAACATTTGTATGGAGGAGTGTACAACATCAGGCCTGTCATTGATGAAACAAAGAAACAGCTGCGGGCCCAATGCACTGCCCTGTGGTACCCGCTTGTGACAGGTACTGATGATGATTTCGTGCCATTAATCACCACACACTGCTTGCGGTCACGTAGAAAGTCTTCTATCCACGCTAGGACATTTCCCCGAATTCCGTACCCTTCCAGTTTGATTTTCAGCCTTTCGTGGGGGTACACTGTCA